ATTCTTTCCTTGCCTAGTGACCTACAGCCAAAACCATTTTGGCCCTGCAGGAAAAATAAGATCATGTACTCTTTCCCAGGGACCTCTATAAAAGCACGATGCATCCAGTTTATACCCAAGCTTGATTGAGCTATTGTTTCCTTTACCATGTGGTATTGAGCTATTGTTTCCTTTACCATGTGGTATTAAAACCAGGTCTTTTTTACCCTATTCCTACATTATTATTATTATTATTATTATTATTATTATTATTATTATATCCTCTTAATGTATAACAATAATACTAAAAGACTTTTATTTTGCTAGCATTAAAGTATGATTTGATTTGAATTAGTAGGCCAAGCAATTTTGGGTTGCAGAGAGTCAGAAAAGTTAGGAAAAAAGGTAAACTTTGACAGGAATCAGTCAATGTTTCAGAAGGACTGTTTTCTTTTGGAGCATTTTGAAATTTGAGAGGACAGGGAGAGATCAGACTTAAAATGCGAAATAAGCACGTGTTCAAATTAAAGAGCAGCCAATGCCATTGTATTTTAAAAATACGAATCTGTAGCATCTCTTGAAACTTTCATTCAAATAGCACAATTCAAGGCAGTATAAAACATCTTTGTCAACACAGAATAAATCTGGATCTAGCAGTACAGTTTTAAGATACACAAGAAAAAAAAGCAAGTTCAATTGGTTTTTTTTGTACTGAAGTGCAACAGCACAGACACAGCAGTCAAGCCTAAAATACGTTTAACTAATATTTTCCTGGTCACAAAAATGACAACATGAAGATATCACCATAGAACAAATACAAGAGGAGCTGGTGTCATGCATTTCTAGGACCCCAAGAGCTCTCATAAAAGTGTTCTTCTGTTGACAGATTCAGTTTCACCAATAGCACTGATATAGATATGGATTAGCACCTAGTCATCTGACTCATTTTGCAAAACAAGCAGTAATTGTAGTTTAACAAAATGTGAAATCTTTCAAAAAATCCCACAGCTTTATTTACCCTTTCAAAAAGTATTTCAGATTTGTGACCTTTTCTTTCTTCCTTTTCTACAACCTTTTCTTTTCCTTTTTCAGATACTGAAAGGAAAGATATCAGATTCAGTATCACAGAACTTCTCAAACACATTAAAACATTCAAGAACAATGTATTGTTTTTATGGTTTGAAGCACCTTTGGACCCCGTCATGGATTAGGGCCCTCATTACACAAGGCACTCTATCAAGAGGCAGGGAGAAGGACAAGTGAACAGCAAAATGGTGCTAGTCAACATGATTAGCAGTAGTCATTTCTCACCACTTTTCTAGTCTTTTTGGAACATTTACAGTGCAGGAGAATTGTAAGAAGGAAATGAGATAGGTTTTAGGGACAACTCTTCACATCCACCTACATTAGTAGCCAGCTCAGGAGACAGCTGAAGCCACAAAAGCTTCTAGTTCCCTTAAGATTCTCATGGGCACAAGCAGTGATTGGTATACTTAAAGGCTAACACTCACCCCAATGGACGCAAGTCTTCAATTTCATTTGGAATGTCAGCAAGCTTGAACACAAAGATGTAACAGAAATCATGATAAAACATTTTTGTCACCAAAAGTACAAGTGTAGAATTTGCCATGTTATTGTTTTTTTAAGTAACTGCAAAAGTCAAAAAGGGAAGGATATACATGTTTTACTCATCCGGTGCTGCCTCTCCGTGAAAATATTGCGCAGACACATTCTTGGCCAGGTCTGCCACTCCATTAAGGCTCATTTAGTCCATTTGAAAAATGGAACCTAGAGTTGGGGAGAGTGCTTTTCAACAAGCCAGTGGGCACAGGCAGAGATTGTTTTCTTTCAAGTGGAACAGAAGTTTGCCAGTTACTGTGGGTGGACAGCTGGCTGCTGGTACTTCTACAGCATGAGGTTTGAGAGGAAATACTTACTGAAGGGAAAGGAGCACACACTTTGTAAACAGCAAGACAAAAAACTTGGACAAATTAGATGATTAGACTCTTTGTTTAAGAGACCTGTTTACCTAGATTAAGAAAGCTGAAGAGTGCATTTGAAAAGAAAAAAGAAATACCACTAGAAAAAGAAACTATAAAATAATGATGATGTTGGGGTAGACAAGAGAAAAAGAGTGCAGCTGAATTGCTTACCTTATCACTTTCTAATGTTTGCATGCTTACACACCGGGGTGCGATGATGTTGAAATTTATCTCCACTGGAGCCCTGCACCTGCTCTTGGCCACTCAGCCTGCCAAGGACGTGAATTCCACAACATAGGAGCAACTACTATTCACTTCCTCTTTCCTCTCCAAGTCACCTTCCAAGGGGAGAGGGTGGGTTGGGTTTCAAACTGATCTCCAGAGCAGCAGTTCTTGCTGGGTTGTTTATGATTTTCAAGATCTAAACTGCCTCAGTAGCATGCATCTTGCTGCTGTTGGGAAGACAGATCAATCCCAGACTCTTGAAATTAACAGCTCAGCATCATCAGAAGGGGCAAGTTTTCCAACAGCCACTTCCAGGTGAAACTTGCAACAACATCACTTTCAAAGAATGTGTAAACTGTCACACTCGCATAGCTAAAGATGGTAGAGTGAGAAAAGGACCTATTCCATTATACCCACCGACTATATACACGAATACACTAGGAATTATTAGAAAAGCAACCCCTCAGGATGGCACACATAACTTACTTTATTTTTACTTTCCTAACTTGTCTTTCCAAACTTGTCAAATAGGTTATTTTTGTACCTCTTTGTCAAGCCTACTGAAATCCCTTAACCCCCTCACAGGCAAGGTTCTTTGAGTAGATGTGATATCTTTTATTTATTAGACCAACTGAGTAGTTGGAAAAATGTTTTTTGCAAGCTTTCTGGTGCAATCACCCTTCTTCAGCCATAGGGAGTCTCTGCTGTTCCGAGATCTCCAAGGAATTCAAGAAGTCCAAAGTGTGACAAGATGTCAATGAGAACATAATTAAGTTTTCAGTGGAAATTAAGAAAACAAAAAAGGTAGAGAAGGGAAGTGAGAGGTGGAAGCCAAAGGTAAGCAAGGGAGATTCTACTGTAGTAGTTTTCCAAGGTAGAAGAGAAGTTGTCCATGAAAAAGTAAATAGCTGGAAATTAGGAAGACAAAGGGCAGAAAGAGAGGGGAAGGGGGAAAGGGAGGGAAAGAAAAGTGTAAAAGGTCAGGTCTGGTAGGTACCTGGTGAATCAGATATTAGGCAGGTTTTAATGCGTCATAAATCCAATGTCTATATTGAGTCCATGATTCTTTGTATCCAGTAGATTTATGAAGTGAAGTTCACAGGCTCATCTACAAAAGGTGTTTTGTAAGACCAAAAAAAAAAAAAAAAAAAAATCTACCAGACATGCCAAATGGGTAACATGGCAAAATGTGATTTGGCTTGGATTTGCACAGCTAGCCAGATTTCTATTATTGGTAGTTAAATATACAAGTATTTGTGCTAGCTGTTCTCTTGACCCAAAAATATGAATGAAGAATAAATCAGATATTTTACAAAGATAATATCACAGTGCTGTAAGATAATTATATCCATAAAGAGACCCCAGAAACCACAGAGTAATGCTTTCTCACATCCCCCTCCCCCTTAAAACAAGCATAGCACAAGGTAGGCCCTGCCACCTCCCAAAGAGCGATTCCAATCCCCTTCCCTGCCAGTTCTGCTGCTCTGTTCTCTCCTCCCTGTTCTGTCTGCTGCATCTGTTCTGCTCTCTATTTCCTGTCCTATCTGCTACAGTTCTTTCTGTTCCCAGGAAAACAGCGATCTAGAGAAATGGAAAAAGCATTTAGAAGCTCCCCCATCTCTTCCCTCTCTCCTTGAACAGCATGACTATCACACAGGTTAACTAAACAGAACGTCTCGTCTTAATAGCAAAGTCCAGAAATACTAAAAACCATGCATCAAGGGCACTATAAAAATCAAGCAAAACTTTCTGGCTCTCTGGTTATATATGGCTCAGGGGTCGATGACTCACAGGCTGCTTCTTATCCCCCTACGTACTCCAAGTATTACAGTTTCCACGCTGTTACAGAAAATCTCACAGAAATGAAAGAGAGATTCAATTAATGAACATCAGCAATTAGAGAGAAAAAGTACATTAAAAAAGCCCCCACAGAACTTGCAATCAAGTTATATTTCAACTGTAGGAGAACTCATCTCTATTTATGGATTCCTGGACTCTCTCTATATTTATAATTTCCAAAAATAACAGAAAGACTCCATCCTGTATCTCCAAAGCCCAGGAAACAGTTCCTTAAATTTAAGTTATAACCTGCGAACACATACAACTGCTAGTTGCTGTATTTAGTCTTACATACCTCATGTTTTATATTGTTGGTTTTGTGCATCCTGTGTCCTTACATACAGTACCCATACACTTAGTTCATTCAGAGTTGATGAATGTTACCTTTTTCTTGAACCTGCTGCAAGGTTTAGCACAAGTACTCCGTAAATGCACTTCTTTGAGCAGCACTTTGGCACCTACTGGGTGCATCTACACATGTCCTTAACTGCACAGAAGACTAATTTGCCGTGGTGTAAAGCATCACAGTTTACATGTGCAATATTACAGAGTGCAGCAAACTAATTTTTGCCGCTGTAACATAGTATCAGTAGCAAAAATAACTGCACCTAAAAACGCACATGTAAAAAGCTGACCCAGGAGTAAATTCCATCCAGTCAGGCCAGACAGGGGGCCAGACCCTTGCCTGCCACCTAGCCACATGGCTCCACTCTTATGCCCCAGCCAGCCCCTCCATTGCCCAACAGGGCGACCTGGAGCGCAGGGCTGAAATCCTCGCCCTCCCCTACCTCCCTCCCCAACCCCGCCCCCCCAAGCCTGCTGCTAACCCAGGGCTGCTCCACCCCAGCAAAAATTGCTGTAGTCCTGCTGTACACAGCAGTAGTGTTCTCCAATGCAAACTGTGCCAAAGTTTATCATGCCACCACATGTAGATGCACCCATTTATATGTTGTACAAAAACTTTTTTTTTTTTAATAATTTTTTCGTGTTCCAAGCCAAATCAAGTCCAAATCTGTGAGTTAGTCCAGAACCATAAATGGCCCTACAACTGACAAACATCCTCCACCCCCACTAGGGGCTTCAGATATTTCCAAAGTCTTTTGGCAAGCGTCCTAAATGCAGGCCCAGCTCCAGAGGCCTGGGGTTCAGATGCCCCCAAGTTTCACCTGCCCTCAGCCCTATGGCCGCAGAAGCAAGTTAGGGAGGAGCCTCCCATTTCCATAAAGTGGGCTTTAAGCCCCAACACCTTCATTAATGATGTGGACATTGGAGTCAGAAGTGGACTGGCCAAGTTCGCCGATGACACCAAACTTTGGGGCAAAGCATCCGCACCTGAAGACAGGCAGGTGATCCAGGCTGACCTGGACAGGCTCAGCAAATGGGTGGACGAGAACCTGATGGTGTTTAACACTGAAAAATGCAAGGTTCTCCACCTGGGGAAGAAAAATCTGCAGCATCCTTATAGGCTCGGCAGTGC